CCCTGGTGGGGAACTCTGTGCCAGTCTGCCTGGCCTCCCAGCTCTCAGCTCCCACTCCTCCTTCCTCTGCAACTGCCCTATGGCGCAGCAAACAAGGCTCCCCTCTCCCCAGGGAGGGGCTCTCTCAGTCTCACCACTGTCTCATCCCATTACAGACTCGACACCTGGACATCTCGCCATTGGCTATGGGGCAGGAAGACCTGGACCCCTCAAGCAGAACAGAATCCGAGAAGGGTGGCCCCGGTGCCCCATTGCCCCGTTTTCTCTGCTGGTCAGGATTTCTGATGATGGTCTTTCCTACACAGGCCCTACCAGGCCCCCTCTCCAGGCCAGTCCCGGTGCGGCCACCTGCGGGCCATTCGGCGAGGTGCCTCCCCCCTATCCGGGGCTGCTGCACATCTGGATGCTGCGCTTACATTCACGAAGATGGGTCACCTCTTCCTACATGAGGGACCCGACTCCTCCACTAGGAGCTCCTGGCCCCAGCTGCCCTGTGCCATGACAGCCCACACCCTGCACTGACAGAAGGCCTCTCCTCTCCCCAAGTCCTCCCAGGAAGGAGGTATAGGACAGCCATATGGAATTTTATCCCCTACTCTGTAACAGTGACAACGAAGACTTTTTTCCTGTCACTCTTTCATCGTTAGTCTTAAAGTCCCACATGATAAATTCCCAGCTGAGTTCAATTCCAGGAAAAATTGTGTTCTGAAAATTAATTTGTATGCTTTCTGTTGTCAAAAATCCAAACCTATGCAACCCAGTGTGTTTTTGTTTGTGCCTAAGCTGCCAAAAAACTTAGAGCCAGATTCATGGTCCAAGTGTCGTAATCTGCTCAGTTCAGGCCATTCAAAACGGCCATTCCTTTTGCTTGGCTTTGTTTTCTCCTGAGCATTTTTGTACTAGGGTTTAGTTGAAGTTACCTCACCCTTTGCCCAAACCAGGCCCCGGGCCCTACCTCTTCATCTGTGGAATCCCTCCCCTCCCGCTGATCAGGGTTTGGCCTGGGCGCTGCAAGGCCTTGGCTTGGCCTCCAACAGGCCCACAAGTGAGCTTTCTAAGACCCAAAGCTGATCCCATCTCTCCAGCTTCAGCGAACTCCTCCTTCCCACACTCCTCCTTGCCTCTGCGCGCCTGTCTCTGCAGCCCCGCCTCACCTCTGCACACACACACGTGCTCATGCATACACACACACATGCACACAGTAACCATACAGAACTCTCCCCTCTCTTGGTGACTGCACATTGTCCCCTCAGCCTGAAACAACCATCTCTGCTTAGTTTCCTTGGTGACAAAGTTTTCAGGGCTCAGCCCAGACATCACCTGCTCTGTGGGTCTCCCCAGAAGTCCTGTCCTCTGGGTTCCCTGAGCTCTGGGGCACAGCACTCACAGCCCCACCAGGCCAGGCCAGGGCTGGTTTGGTTTAAGGTTTTGAGGGACTGCCCCTGAGGGAGAGCAAGCTCCTGGAAAGAAGGGAGATGTCCCGCTCATGACCATGTCCCTAACGCTCGCACAGGGCTGAGGAAGTGAGCGAATACTGACACAGGCAGGGTTCAAATCTCCTGCAATGAGAGGACAGGAGGCCAGCCTTTTCAGGAGCCCTTCTCAGCACAGCTCTGTCTGCCCTGACTTCTCAGCATTCTGCTCCCTCCACAGCGGCCCACCCCGTCTCTACTCCACTCTGGACTGTTCGATATTTGACGACGTAAGGAGAAATGGTTTCATTCTTTTCTGCAGGAATCACAGCGGCTGCAAGAGTTTAATAACAAGATTCTGCAGAGAGCCTATTGCCACCCTACTGTCTCGCCCCGTTCTTACCCGGTGTCATCGGAACATTCATGAAGTCACATCTGAACACCAGCTGCAAGTCGGCTGGTTATAGCTGGGTCACTACGTGTCCCTGGCCCCATCTAGTCCCTGGAGGGCACTGGCCGGCTGGCTTCCTGTCCTTGCGCCTAAAGACAGCATTCCGGACCAGTGGTCAGACCCCCTGCTCCCGACCCTGCTAAATTCGGCTGGAGCCCGCGTGGTTAGGAGCCGTCCTGGCTCGGAGTATCCCAAGGCCATCCTCAGAGGCAAAGTGGGAGAAAGAAAAGCTTTCCGTCGTTCCTCCTTCCTGCTTTCTCTGGACTGCAAACTGCGGCGAGGGGGTGTCTGGGCTCTCGGCCCGTCCGCATCCTTCACACGCACGCACACTCACACTCACGCACGCCTCCTGGGACCCCGCGCGGCGCGGGCGGGGGCCGGGCCGGTTTCGAGGCGCGCGCGCGACGGCGGCTGGTCTCCACGCGGGGCCCATTTCCTC